CAAAGAAGGATCTTGGCATCGTGTCTAAGAATAAGGCCAATAATTGATGACAGCGGAATTTACAGGCGACTGTCCAACAGAAGCATTTATAATTCTATAGAATTCAGCCGGATCGACGTTTTCATTATAAGAAATGCGCTTAAATAGGATGGTGGAACAATTCCTGGAATACAAGAGAAATTCCACAACGTAGAGCTGCCAGTAAAACTACGCGACGAAGGAGTGTCCTACGGTCATGATCGCTTAACTGAAATATTTTCCCAAAACAAAAAATGATGTTAAACTCACCTCTTTCAAACACCTCAACATATCCTGCTTGGGTTGCACAGAACACTTCAACAATTTCGCCTGTCTTTCTGCCAAATCTGTCTGATTGCTGCTGCATGGGGGACATCATGTGCAGGCCAACACTCATTGCTCCCGCACTATAGCCCCACAATGTAACCGAACTTGGATCTCCACCAAATCTCCTCACATATTGTTGTACCCAACGCAGAGCCATAACTTGATCTTTGAGACCCATATTTCCTGGGGCCTGTTCATTACCCAGCGCCAAGAAACCCAATGAACCCAGACGATAATTTAGGGTTACCAAAACAATATCACGATCGAGAAAATTTTGGCCACCTGCATCCAGACTTATGCCAGAGAATAAATAAAATCCGCCAGGATGTAAATACACAATAACCGGTCGCAAATGTTCCGATGAGTTCAGGGATCTGGTATAAACATTTAGACGTAGACAATCTTCGGAGAGCATTGCTCTTCGTGTTTCGGTTATTTGTGGACACATTGGCCCATCTTCGGTGGCATCAAAGATTTGTGGCTTCCATGCCCTCACTGGCTGGGGATTTTGAAAACGCAACTCGCCCACGGGAGGTTCAGCATAACGTATGCCACGAAATGACCAAAACTTGTTGCCCAAACGAGTTTCCATTTCCACGCCCTTGATGGCGCCCAATGTGGTCTCCATGATAATTGTTTTGTCTGCAGCATGGCAGGCCAATGCCACTATCAACACGCCGTAAAAACTTGCTTTAAAATACCCAATCCCCATTACGTTTCTTATCTCTCCGTTTGGGTCTTGTGGAAAAAATCCCCGCTCGATTTTAATTGTTATTCGAATTGAATCGTTGTGGAAGTCGTGCATTATGTGATGGCTTATTTATACGCTCAGAAGTGATGCGATTGCTTTCGTTTTCTCAGAAATGCATTGCGTTTGGCTTAAAGCTTTGCTACACTCATGGAAAAATGTAAGTTAAAAGTAGATTTTTTAAATTCTGAAAATCGAGAGGAAATTTAGGGAATCATGAAGTATCGCATTTTTAATACTTTTGATATCCAAAGATGCCACCGAATGCGCTCAAGGTGGTAAGAGGTGCGCTAAATATTTTAACCCACAATTTGTCGAGCACTGTGAGAGCGATAGAGCGAAGCGAAGATTACTACGTCGTAACGGATCTCTTCCCGCCGAGGAGGTAACACCACAGGTAACGATGGGTACTGTTGCAAATGTCTTTCGAAACTCTAAGCCATCCGAAGCTTTGGTCATCGACGAAATCTCAATGGTAATGTTGAAATAGCTGGATACCCCGGGAATTGAGTACCTGACAAAAATTCTCAACCTATCGCTAGCCACCCACATCGTGCCTGGAAAATGGGCCGGGTGGTCCTGCTACTGAAGCCAGTCAAAGATGCCGGCAAAGGCGAATCATACAGGCCAACAAAAGCTCTTGAGGCTTTACTCCTCCCCAGCATCAGAGAAGCTATCCAGTTGCCAAACAACACCACGGATCCCGTTCACAATACAGAACCACAACAGCATTACACGCCATATCCACACATATCATTCGAGGCCAGACAAAGATGCCGGCAAAGGCGAATCATACAGGCCAGCAAAAGCAAAAGCTCTTGAGGCTCTACTCCTCCCCAGCAGAGCCGTGTCACAGAACAGTGTTGATAGCCCTTGACTTATCAAAGGCACTTGACGTTTGATACGGTTTGAGGACCTAAAGAGAACTACCCTCCGGTCAAGTTTGAAACGTTGCATAGTCAACTATATGTTTCTAGGGGTCAAAATCGACAGCATGTTCAAGTCGTCCGCATAAGCCCCAGCTATCTGTGACAAGATGAAAAGTAGGAACAAGCCGAAAGCACTTTGGGGTGCGGACAAGAAGACCTTGTTGACAGCGTTTATAACGCATTAGATCGGGGTGTACTCAGCTATGCGGCTCCAGTGTGGGCTGCGACCTCCCAGAATGCTCCCCTGAGAACTGTGACAGGGTGCTTTCTCATGACACTAGTTTACCATCTACATGAGGAGGGCAAGGTGCTTCCCGTATGTCATGTCAGCATAACCATATGCTTTCGTTGCAGTACTTGCTTGGGTGTTATCTTGGGAGTCATCCAAACCATCATTTGGTGGATAATACTCCCCCACCCAGGCGTGTCAGGAAGGACATGGGATCCAACGTTACAAGATAAGAGCCTCTAGATCAAGAAGCCTATCAGGCAGGTCTGATGAGAGGCATTCATACGGAAGCAGTCAGAGATGACATCAACAATTATAACGTGAATACCGTTCTCGGAGTCCACCCCCATCCATTGCAGCTGAAGAACGTCGGCTGCTTACACAAACCAGGGAGTTTTGGCGCAATTGCGTTCAAGATGGTGCAGTCGTCTCAATTCGTATTGGGGTTAGAACGAGTTTAGCAGGTACCCATACACACCATGAATAACTGTTACAAAAACAACAAGTTGGGAGGTAAGGATATGTAGTCGAGAGTCAACTCCGACCAAAAGAACAAAAAACGATTTGTTAAGACCCAAAAAAAAAAATCTTAAAAACATTCTCTGAATTTTAAACCCTCAGCATATAGCTATAGAGGGTATTTATCAATTGATACGGCCAAAACGTGCCTCATCGAAATAACAGTTTTAGACCCTAGGTCTCTTTGGACCAAATCCGTTTCAGAACATTCGGACTCGATCTAACCATGTCCGTCCGTCCTTCTATCTGTCGGGCTGGTTGGTGCGCACGATAACTCTCGACGGGAGTATCCGAATTGGTCCAAACTTGGTACATCGTAATATTATTATCAAACTTAGATCCAGTTCGGAGATGGACAATTAATTCTGGTACCTCCCACATAAAATGTCAACATTTTCAAAGAAAATAATTTACTGCATAGGAAGAGAAAGGATACTCTGATTTTGCTCCAACTTTGCAAATCCTAACACTTGCATCAGCGCTAGTTCAGGACAATATCAGTTCACTCCATCAAGTACGTTTCCCAGAAAAGATCAAAATTTTGAAAAATTATAACACTTAAAATGTGATTTAAGAGTCCGATTGACTTCAAACTACAGACATCACAATATATTTATTAGCCCCTGGTCTGGTATGAAGATGGAATATATTGGCCCACTCCTTCTGGTACTCCCCCCACAAAGGGTCAACATTTTGAATGTTCGTAAAGCTCATAAAACACGAAATTAACATCCGATTCCATACATACTTGTCACATCTCAATATTTCCATCAACACAAGATCTGTTATAAAGATAGTAGAGATCGGACCATTCCCTGTGGTACCTCCCTCACATAGAGGGCTCAAGATTTTGAAAAAAAAGGCTCAAAGAAGTCGAAATAAGCTTTAAACTCTCTTCAATAACTGCAAACCCATTCTGGTACCACAAAAGGTCACAATTTCCAATACTCATATCTGTCCTTCTTTGTGCCAGATACGAATTGGTCAATATTGGCCAACTGCTTCGGGAGGGTCAACAGTTTGAATAATCATAAAACAAGGCTGGGGGCATACATCTGTCGGCAAAACTGACTGACCCTATTTTACTGGTTTTTTATACCCTACACCACAAGATGGTCAGGGTATTATGTCTTTGTGCATTTGTTTGTAACAGGCAAAAGGAACCGAGATTTGATGATCTGCATAGAATCACATTCTGGGTCGTTTTATGCATATCCGCCCGTCTGTCTGTCCATTTATGTTTGTAAACAGCTCGCATTTATTGCCCTATCCAGATGAAATTTTACACAAATCACTTTGTTTGGCCCAAGGCCCATCGGTCAAAATTCAGATATGACTCCCATATATATCTTCGTCCGATTTTTATTTTATTATGCACCCAACGTGTAATATCAGCCCGAATAGTATGGAATTTTGCACATACAACCAAATTAGGCCTAAAAATAAGTATGCCAAATTTGATCGGAATCGGTTCAGATATAGCTATAGCTCCCATATATATTGTTCATCCGATTTGTTATTTTTGTCCGCCGCAACCATTATATGCACTCTGTAACAACAATATTTGGGGAAATATATCAAATACAGCTCAGAAATACATTTGCCAAATTTTATCGAGATCGATTCAGATTTGGATATACCTTCCATATATAACTTCGTCCGATTTACCTTTTATTGTGCACCAAACGTCTAATATTTATCCAAATGGGATGGAATTTGGCACTTACGACCAAATTGAGTGTAGAAGCTAGTATGCCAAATTTGGTGAACATCGGTTCTGATATAGCTATAGTTCCCATATATACTGTTCATCCGATTTGTTATATTTGTTACCCACAGCCGTAATATGCACTCCGTAACAACGATATTTGGGGAAATATATCAAATACAGCTCAGAAATATCTTTGCCAAATTTTATCGAGATCGGTTCCGATTTGGATATAGCTACCATATATATCTTTATCCGATTTCAAATTAATTTTGCACCAAATATGCTTCGGCGTATTTAGTGCTTTAAACTTTAAGTTATAATTATAATCATAGCGTGTATGATTGAATTCTGCCATAAAAACTTTTAATTGCTATGCGGAGCTCTACTAAATTAGCAAAGTGGTGTAGGGTATCATAAAATCGGCCCCGCCTGACTTTAAGACTTTCTTTACTGGTTTTTTCTCTTTACTTAACAACAACAAAACATTTATTAGGTTCTCTTTCTTTGCACCCTTATCACAAATATTGTATAGATCTAATAATAAATAACAAAATTCCAATAGGATATATCATGCGGACCATATCAAGTATCTGTTATTTACAATCCGGCTTGGGATTCTCACAAGTCTCATCGTAGTTGTCCAGCAGCAAATGGCTAATGGAGGCTGTGAATTGAGTCAACGAACAGGGGGCATCACAATTTGGTATGGCCAGTTCTTTGGGGAACTTGTCATCGCTGTTGTAGTAGTAAACAATCTGTAAAAAAGAGCGGATATTATATTCCATTCTCAATTTTGGGAGAGAGAGAGAGAGCGGGACCCCAAAACTCACCTTAACCTCAAAATCATCTTTAAACAATGAACTATGATGCAACTCAAATGCCAATGCCGAGGCATATTCGGGCAGCTTGGCCGTTTGATCGAGAATATTCAAAGAATTCATCACATTAACCAGTGTCACATCATGTCCGGCATAGAGGAATATTTTCCTATCCGGACTCAGATTACGCTTACGTTTATTCAACATTTTCGAATGAATCTCTGTGAGAAAGGCCCCACCCTTAACCTTTTTCATGAGATTTGTTTCGGTGAACAGAGTATAGCTACGCTCGGCCAAGGGTTCCAAACGATCCGGATAGATATTTTCAGCCCAATCGGGTAGAGTGAGACCTGCTTCACTTTCAATCTTTAAAGTATTGTACAATAGCTCAACATCCAAAACTGAGGTAATATTTTGGCCAGTGTGTTTGGTCAGCAAACGATACAGTTTGTAGTTGTCATCATCGAGCTTCCTCAAATCCGGGGGTGGTGACTTGTATAGTTTTTGTAGAATGGTATCGTATTTGGCACAGGGTTTCTTTTGGGCCAGTAACTAAAAAAATAGAGAAATATAAATAAAAAAGTATCTAAATCCTTTGAAAATCCTTACAGTATCCTCCTTCCTGGGTATGGAATTCACTGCCACAGTTTGCCATTCAATGGGCAGGGGGTTGTTGTGTTCCAGTGGCGGCATAAATCCAGCCAACAGACTATTAGCGCTCATCAGACATCGTTCTGCTGCCGAACTTAAAACAGACACTTGCTGAGCCGTATATAGACCGTTCGGTGGCAACAGCCGATAGTAACGCATTCTTAAATTTTTACCCAAATTATAGGCCTGCAGGCTACCTTTCTAAAATAAATAAACGATTATTTTTCGATTTCTTAATAAAGAAAAAATTAATCAGAAATTTCTTACCTGCGTCAGGGCTCCCAAACCACCTGGCCATTCATGGGTAACATGTGGATCGTTGGGATACAACTCACTGGGATTCTTCTCGCCATGCCTAAAAAGCTTAAAAATATGAAAAATTATAAGAAATTCGAAAAGGTTTTTATATAATAGAAGCAATTAGGAATCAAGTTCAATAAATCTGGAGAGCCTCTTTCAGAATCCATGGTTTTGGTGAACATTTCAATTTTTCTCCGTAAATACAAAAGTTTTTTATATATCCTCCGTCTCATGACTACAGAGGGTATATATCACTTGATACAGCCAAAATAACTATAGTGCGTAGGAAGGGAGTATCCGATATGCCTCAAACTAGGTTCAACCTAAAATATATGAGCAGTATCAGTCCACTCCAGATGGTCCAAAAAAATTCAAAATGTTGCAAAAACCTACAAACTTTATATGGAGGGAAGGGAGTACCTCATTTATCTCAAACTTAGGGAAGGGAGTACCCCATTTAGTTCAAACTTGGGGAAGGGGGAACCCTATATAGTTCAAATTTAGAATATTGAACTTTCAATGTTATATCTATCAATTGGTCTCTTCCAGAACCGAAAGAATGTAAAACTTTTTACTAAGATAACCGGGTATAACCCGTTTTTTGATATCGGAAAAAATTGCAAAACTCGTTGATTCTTGCAGGTTCTGGAACAGAACATTTATTGAACGCCCAGATGAAACGGCTAGGCCTACAATCTTGAAATAGTCTGAAGGGGTCAGATAAGGCTGGGTTTTTGGAAATTCGTACTAGAACCGTATTAAATGGTACTAAATATGGTACCTATATTTCTATTTGAGGAAGCAGTAGAGTCTGAACTCTTACTCTTACAAAAAATTTTTGGAAATTCGTACTATAAGTGTACAAAGAGTACTAAAAGGTACTACATTTGGTGCCGATTCGTATACTGTGAATGGTAAGAGCTAAAAACTTGAAATTTGCAATGCAAGTAGAGGTTGAGGAATAGAGTCGATGTAAGGAGGTCGTTGTGGAAGTTTATGCTTATGTATAGGAAAAGTACCAAACGGTACTATATTTTGTAAAATTTGAATTTGAACGAACGGATGGGAAATTTATTGTCTTTGAAATTAACATTACTGGCGAAGTGTAGGATTGGGATACAGGAAAAATACTTGATGGTACTAAATTGGGTACAATTGGTGGGCTGATATAAACCTTCCTATTCTAACGATGAAATCGGTACATAACCAACAATATTTTCGCCTGCAATCCGAATTAAGCTCGGTAAATTAAAGTCGACAAAGCCAAGGAACAGCAACCCCTTTTATAAGTTCAGAAGGTATAATATAAATAAAGGTATTATTATACCCTCAGCCATTTGGCTACAGAAGGTATATATCATTTGATACGGCCAAAACGTTCCTGATCGAAATAACGGTTTTAGGCCCTAGGTCTCTTTGGACCAAATCCGTTTCAGGACATTCGGAGTCGATCTAGTGAGGTCCGTCCGTCTGTCTGGCTGGCGCACACCATAACTCTGGAAGGGAGTTGGACCCACTTGGGTCCAAACTTGATACATCGTTATATTATTATAAAACATAAATCGAGTTCGGATATGGGCAATATCGGTCAACTTCTGGTACCTCCCCCACAAAAGGTCGAAATTTTCAAAAAATATGTTTCTTGCACAGAAAGAGAAAGGATAATCCGAATTTGCTCCAACTTTGCAAATACTATTATTTGCATCAGTGCTTTGTCAGGTGTGAAAATGGACAATATCGGTCCACTCCATCAAGTATCTCCCCCACAAAGAGTCAAAATTTTGAATAATTATAACTCTTATAAAATGTGATGAAAACGTCCGATTATCTTGAAATTTCACACATCACAAGATTTTGTATCGGTTCATTGTGGTACTTCCCCCACACTGAGTCAAAATTTTGAATGTCCATGGAGCTCATAAAACACGAAATTAATATCCGATTCTATACAAACTTGCCATATATTAATATTTCTATCAACACAATATCTAATATAAAGATGGTAGAGATCTGACCATTCCTTCTGGTACCGCCCCCACAAAGGTTCCAAATTTTTAATAACCAAAATGAGCATAAAATCGGAAATAAGCGTCCGGTTCTTTTCATATATCACACATCCTATTATATCCACTAACACAAGATTTGCTGTGAAGATGGGATATATATCGGGCCACTCCTTCTGATACCTCCCCCATAAAGGGTCCAAATTTTGAATAACCAAAATGAGCATAGAATTCGAAATAAGCACCCAACTCTCTTTAAATTTCACACATCCAAAGATTATTGCTAACGCAAGATCTTTTGTGAAGATGATACATATCTGGGGACCCCTTCAGTTACCTCAACGACAAAGGGTCACACTTTGCAATACTTTTATCTGTCATAAATTGCGAAACAAGTCAGCAAATCTTTACAACTTGCTATATCTAAATATATCTCTGAAACAGAAACCTGATATTAATACGGAATTGATCGGAAATTGTAATTTTGCATAGAATTGGATATAAATGTTCGATTTTCGTGTAATTTTGTACGAGTATTTTTATTTCCAACAGCATTGTGGACAGCAAAGAATACTCCTCCACCAACATTATTCTGTTTCTGTATTTCCTGTAAATATGGTACTGATCAGACAAAATGTCAGTATCGCGTACGGTTTGACCCGAGCTTCGATGAAAAGAATATTTTAAATTAATAATATTAAGTTTTCTGAACCTAAGGTTCCCAGCATTTTGGTAAAGAATATTTAGATAATACATTAGGTTTTAGAAACGGGTACAAGTGAAGGAATATTTGTCGGATCATTACTGTTAGTTTTTTCTATAAACAGAAATTCCTTTACAAGTACACTATCTGGCCAAAAAATATTTATCATTACATCATACATTCCATGTGACACAATCATTTTAAGCGATGTAATATCTTGTGATAATGACGAATTAAATTTTAATAATTCTGCTGTCATTGTCCGTAGTTTTTGCACTTTAGATTTAAAATATGTATATATCTTATCTATGGTTGTATTGGAGTATAATCTCGATATAAAAATGCTTTTCCTGGTCGCAACTAAGATTATTTCTTTACGACTTCCAGGCTGACAATGTTTAGAATTTGGACTGATAATAGCTGCTGGGAATGAGTTAGGAGCTAAAGTATCAACATTTGAAGCAGTAGCATTAACAATTAGTGTTGGTACAGTTGAGTAGGAGTTAGAGGGTATAAGGGTTATTATTACCCACAAATATAGTAAACTAGCTGGCCCAGTCCGCGTTGCCGGCCCGTAGTTTTAATCACATGCATAGTTTTTAAAGCATAATAATTCACAAATCTAGCTCACATAATTTTTAGTATAAATGATGACTCGATTAAATAGAAATAAATACGTTTATACAATTAATTTGAAATCAGATAAAGAGATATATCTATATATAGAGCTATATAAAAATCTGAACCGATCTCGATAAAATTTGGCAAAGATATTTCTGAGTTGTATTTGATATATTTCCCTGAATATCGTTGTTACGGAATGCATATTACGGCTGTGGGTAACAAATCGGATGAACAATATATATGGGAGCTATAGCTATATCTGAACCGATCTTCACCAAATTTGGCATACTTATTTTCAGGCCTAACTTGGTTGTATGTGCAAAATTCCATACTATTCGAGCTGATATTACACTTTTGGTGCACAATAAAAGGCAAATCGGACGAAGATACATATGGGAACTATATCTTAATTTTTACCGATTATCTCCAATTTTAATAGAGTTCGTCCTTGGGCCAAACAAGTGATTTGTGCAAAATTTCATCTGGATCGGGCAACCATATAACAATATGTATAGAAAATATGCAAACTTTCTCGAATTTTTCGGTTTTTTTTTTTTTTTTTCAATAAGAATTTTCAATTCCAAAAGGCATTCTGAAACAATTCTACACAGAATTCCATATCATATTAGGACAGTCTATTTTTTCAGTCCCGCGATTTTTCTCAATTTTTTTTTTTTTTCATGACAACGTTTCCACTGTAATTACAAATAAATTTGAGTCAAATCGGCCCAGCCGTTCTCAACTGATGTGTTACTATAATTTTTCAAATTTAAACTTATAATTTATAATATTTGCGCCTAATATTTTGGTACATCTCCGAAAAAGGAGTGGTCAAATGATGAGCGCCAAATATATGTCGGAACTCAGACTGAATTTTCTCCATCCAACTTCACCAAAGATTGCGAGATGAAGGACTACTAAACGAGTTAATTATATTCTATCGAAAAATTCGAAATTGTTTGTATATCATTTACATATCTTCTTTCTCTAAAATTATTTATCAATTTTCCCTCTTTTTAATAAGTCTATAAACAATCAATAGCATTATTTTTTTTACCTCCATACAAATAATTCTTTACAGCCCTTGAAGACTCATGTACAAGCATTAAATAAACTGGAACACATGTAAAAGTAGTTTGTAGCCTCTTCCGCTTACAAGTCTCCCATTTATGCAGAAATATTAAATTTTTGAAACAATAACAAAAATTACAGCATTTGTTTGGCTGCATTTCTTGAGCACATTGTAGCTCTCAGTTGCTGGCGCATGCCGCAATGTCGAGACGTCAACATCGTCAAATGTGTTCAATGAATGAAAACATACAGTGGCTCAAAGTGAAAATAATTTCAATATAAATAGGTGAAAATAAAAACGATAAAGCTGCATATAAATTTTGAAGGTCTTTCCTTTCAAAAAGCAAGAGACCAATAAAAACCTCAAATAGGTCGATATAAACTGTAAAAAAATAACAAAACAAAAAAAAAAACAATTAAAACAAGTAAAATAGTATCAGTCGGTTTTGCCGACAAATGCATACCCCCAGCCTTGTGTTATAGTTGTTTAAAAGGTTTACCCTTTATGGGGGAGGTTCCGAAGCAGTTGACCAATATTGACCAATTCGTATCTGACCTAAGACTGATAAAAATATTACAACGTGCCAGATTTGGACTATATCTTTATATGAGATATGTGCAATTTTTTGGAAAATGTGGAAATATGCGTGAGATAGCAGATGAAGCGGCCGAAGTATTCCATTTTCATACTTCATCTAATACAGACAAAAATATTGGTATGTCCAAAATTTGAAGGAAATCGAAACAATATATCCAATCATAAATTTCGACAAAAAAACATATTCATGTCAGATTTCTCGTTAAGAGAACTATTTAGATACAGCATGTTGTAAAAGGTTGCCGAATTGTTTCGCAAGTTATGACAGATATAAGTATTAAAAATTGTGACCCTTTGTTGGTGAGGTACCAGAAGGGGCTCACATATATATACCATCTTCACAACAGATCCTGCGTTTGAAAAAATATTTGGGTGCATGAAATTTGAAGTGAGTTGGATGCTTATTTCGCATTCTTTGAGTGTTTTGTTTTTCAAAATCTTGAACCCTATGTGGGGGAGGTATCAGAAGAAATGATCGGATCTCTACCATCTTTATAATAGATCTTGTGTTGACGGAAATATTGAGATGTACCAAGTCTGAATGGAATCGGATGTTAATTTCCGTTTTATTAGCTCATGGATACTCAAAATTTTGACCCTTTGTGTGTGAAGTAAGGAATGATCCGATCTCTACAATCTATATAGCAGATCTTGTGTTGATGAAAATATTGAGATGTGCTAAGTCTGAATGGAATCGGATGTTAATTTCGCGTTTTATGAGCTTAATGGATATTCAAAATTTCGACCATTTGTGGGTGAGGTACCAGAAGGAGTTGGAAGATATATATCATCTTCACAACAGATCCTGCGTCAGCAAAAATATTTCGATGTGTAAAGTTTGAAGAGAGTTGGATGTTTATTTCACGTTTTATGAGCGTTCTGTTTTTCAAAACCTTGAACCCTATGTGGGGTCCGATATCTACCATATTTTTAACAGATCTTGTGTTGATGGAAATATTGAGATGTGCCAAGTCTGAATGGAATCGGATGTTAATTTCGCATTTTATGACCTTCATAGATATTCAAAATTTTGACCCTTTGTGCGGGAGGTACTTGATGGAGTGGACCGATATATTCCATCTTCACACCACACCTTGGGTTAACAAAAATATTGTTATGTGTGTAATTTAAAGAGAAGCGGATACTTATTTCGGATTTTATGATCGTTTTTGTTATTCAAAATTTTGACCCTTTTTGGGGCAGGTACCAGAAGCGAGCCTGAATGGAATCGGATGTTCATTTCCCGCTTTATGAGCTTCAAGGATACTCAAAATTTTGACCTATTGTGGGGGAGGAACCAGAAGGTATGGTCTGATCTCCACTATCTTTATAATCTAGTGTTGATGGAGGTATTGATATGTACCAAGTCTGATTGAAATCGGATGTTAATTTCGCGTTTTATTGACCCTTTGGGGGAGGTACCAGAAGGAGTAGATCCATATATTCCATCTTCACAACAGATCTTGTGTTAGTAGAAATAATGGGATGTATAAAATATGAAGAGAACTGGATGCTTATTTTGGATTTTATTATCGTTTTGGTTATTCAAAACTTTGGCCCTTTGTGGGGGAGGTACCACAAGAGTGGACCGATATATTCCATCTTCACACCAGACCTTGGGTTAATAACAAAATTGTATTGTGTTTAATTTGAGGATAATCGGACTCTTACATTTTATAAGAGTTGTAATTATTGAAAATGTTGACCCTTTGTGGGAGAGGTACTTGATAGAGTGGGCCAATATCGTCCATTTTCGCATATGACCTAGAACTGATGAAAATATTAAGATTTGCATAGTTGGAGCAAAATCGGATTATCCTTTATTTCTTTGTCCATTTTTTTTTTTGTTTTTTTTTTTTTTTTTTTTGGAAAATGTCGACATTTTGTGGGGAAGCTACCAGAAGCAGTGGACCGATATTGCCCATCTCCAAACTCGATCTAAGTTTGATAATAATATTACGATGTATCAAGTTTGAACAAATCGGATACTCCCTTCGAGAGTTATCGTGCACACCAGCCAGCCACTCAAATAGGCAGACGGACGGACGGACATCGCTAGATCAACTCCAAATTTCCCGAAACGGATTTGGTCCGATGATGCACGTTTTGGCCGTATCAAATGATACATACCCTCTCTAGCCATATGGCTGAGGGTATAAAAATGTTGCCTTTTTACAGACGATCTCTAATGGTGACTTGACTTTGATTCCGTAAATGATGATATACTCTCGTTACTTCGTCTCTGTCTTCTACCCTCCTTCCATTTCATTTTTATTTAATTTTTTTTTCCACATTATCATACCAATTTATTATCTCACTTTGAGCCACTGTCCCCCGTATTCGAAATCATAGCATTTGCAAACAATTTTCAGGCCAACAACTTACTATGGATATCATTCGTAAATTACGTAGGCCACGTTCATCGTTGTTGTCGCCAAAAACGAAATAGGCCATCATCACCGCGCACAAAGCTCCGCCCAAAATGATCACCGATATTTTGGTGCCACGCCTGGATTTACAATCGATTTTGGTCATTTTGAATTTTTTCAATTTATTTCAAATTAGCTTTTTTTAATCAATATTTTGAAAACAGATATTCAAACATAGCAACTTATTTCACTTGACATTGTGTTGAAATAACAGCTCATATTTGGTAAAATATGTTTTATTTTTTTCTTGAGTTGTTTTAAAATTTTCTTTCATCTGATATTTGATGATATTTTTAGCAAAAACAATTTGAATTGAAATAAAACAAACAAATAATATTTGTGTGGTTTGTTGTTGTTGCTGTTGTTGCTGTTGTTTTGTACCACCAGCACTAGTCGCAAGAAATATTCAATTGAAAACCCGTCGTTTTTTGTGTTGTAGATTACGCGTCCGAGAGGTAACAACTGACTGACTGACAGTTGAGTTGAGTTGAGTTGAGAAGAGTACTGAGAGTGGCCCGTAGTGTTGTGTTGTTTTGCCTTCCATTCACCACCGCGCTGCTTTTTATTCAAAATGAGAGAAAAATACCTAAAAGGCACCGCCAGCGCGCTTGTGGGGTTCAAATGCGTTTTTTGCATATTCACGTCTCAGTGTTATCGTTTTATTTTGTTTATTTTTTTTTATTTTAGTTGTTGTTGGTGTATTTTTTTTTATTATTTTTTAGAGAATGTAAGCAGAGATTTCTTGTGTTCGCATCTCTTATCGCCAGCATGCCCCGCCAGCCATATAAGTTGTTGATGGCGTTGAGTGTTAAATGTAAACAGAGTGTCCAACACTTGAACAATATTTTGAGAGTAAAGTATTGAATGTTAGAACAGTGTTTTGGAAATGTTTTACAACTACTTGAGATCAAGAAACCTAGGAATAAACAAGTAAGCAAAGGCTACAGTCGAGCGGGGCCGACCGTTGAATACCCTACAACACTATAATAAACGATACAGTTCATGTAGGCGAGATACTCAAAACAATTCCACAAGATATTGTGAGAAATAATAAAAGAAAACCATCAGGTTTCGTTCTCTAATTTTCGAATAATAGCAACTTACACTAATTTGCTCATTTCCAATTTGTTGGCAGATGTTGCATGTAAACGGTCTTCCTAGATCTGGAACCAATATTTCCCAAAGACCTATAATCTCTCAGAAGTGGCAAAAGATTAACATTTATTATTGATTTTTGACTGATACGCATCTATATGAGATACAGACATTTGACTATATTCTTCAACGAAATCAGTGTTAACGAAATAGACAGAAGTGCGTCTTTCCTGCATTTGTGAATTCTCAAAAAGTCACTGGAATGGACATTTTCGTATTTTGTCAAACTATTTAACACATTGAATATTTTTGGATGCCCATCCAAAACTGCTTGGCTTTTGTAATGTCCGGTAACCCCCATTCAAATGTGTGTGAGGATCGGGCGATAATTACGACCTACAGACAATTTTGCAGTTTTTTGGTCCATTTCAACCCCTAAATATAAAACAAGATACAGTACGAATTTGGTAGATATCGGCGCTCCCCTTCTGGTACCTCCCCCACAAAGGGTCAACATTTTGAATAACCAAAACGATTATAAAATCCGAAACAAGCCTCCGGTTCTCTTCATATTTCACAGATCCTATTATTTCTTCTAACACAAAATATGCAGTGAAGATGGGGTATATTGCTCAACTCCTTCTGGTACCTCCCCCACAAAGGGTGAAAATTTTGAATATCAATGAAGCTTATAAATTGCGAATCCGATTCCATTCAGACTTGGCACATCTCAATATTTTCATCAACACAAAATTTGTTATAAAAATGGTAGAGATTTTACTATTTATTCTGGTACATCCCCCACAAAGGGTTCAAGGTTTTGAAAAACAAAACGCTGAAAGAAAGCGAAATAAGCATCCAACTCTCTTCAGGTTTCACCATCCAAAATATTATCATCATCCAAATATTATTGCTAACGCAAGATCTGTTGTGAAGATGGTATACATCTACCAACCTCTTCTGGCACCTCACCCACAAAGGGTCACAATTTCCAATATTTTTATCTGTCATAACTTGCAAAACAATTCGGCGATTCTTTACAACTTGCTATATCGAAATATTTCTCTTTACCAAAAATTTGATATAAAATGCGATTTATCGAAATTTATCGTTTCGCATAAAATTGGATATAAATGTTCGAATTCCTTCAAATTTTGCTCATACCAATATTTTTATGTGTATTAGATGAAGTATAGAAATGGAATAATTCGGTCCGCTATATCTCACTCAAATTTTTATATTTGCACATATTTAGTATATAGAGTATAGGAAGTAGTCCATATAGTCCAAATCTGGCACGTTGTAATACTTTTTTCAATATTTGGTAAGATACGAATTGGTCAATGTTGGCCAATTGCCCCAATAATCATATCTCAAGGCTGGGGCTATACATCTGTCGGCAAAACCGATTGATACTATTTAACTTGTTTAAACTAATTTATCTAAAATTTATATAGTTAGATTCCCTCGAAGAACTGTTTCATATACCTAAAATACATTATGCGGACGAGCATAAGAGTTTTTAGACCGCAGGTTTTTTTATAGAACATTGACATGTAAACAAGAATATTTATTTCCAGACCATCTACTTCACTGATTAACAATAATATATATCAAGAAATCATAAATTATTTTCACAATTAGTGTGGCTGATATACAATTGTTTTCAATAAACGTGAAATCTTCATCATCTTTTAAATGAGTGTGTTCAGAGAAACCTCTTTCGTTTACAAGTCTCCTCTTCTTCAAATATCGCTCAAAATGTAAACATTGATAAAATGTCTCTAATCTAATTAGCATTTTCAAAAGCAAAAGAAACAAAACACCGCATAAAAACAAATGACAAAAGTAGTGTTGGCTTAATATGTAGAAATAATGGAATGCCAAATTATGTCAGAGCCATACGCCGCAAGAGAGATAGAGTGCGACAAAGAGAGACTGGGTGAATATTCCAATACAATGGCAATTAAAGGGAGAAAGGGAGGCATTGATCATTAATGTAACATTTCTCTTCTGTAGAGGTCTCTTTTGTTCAGCCCGATGCGAACTCTTACGGGTACTTTTTTGTAAAGAAAAACAACAAAAAAAATTATGTTAGGCAAAGCCGAACTTTTAATACCCTCTAAAATACCAAATTTGAAAATTGTAAAAACAATTAATACCAATTTTTAGAAAAATCCGTGGGAAAAATGTGACAAAAATCATCAAAATACTGAATATCCGGAGGTACCATTATGTAGCGACTATACGAAAAAGTGGACCTATACATACAATGTTTTGCAACCGGTGCTAGAACCCACTTTGACCTACAAATACCAATTTTTAGACAAATCCATGGAACAATGTGGCAAAAATCTTCAAAATAACGATTATCGGGAGGTACCATTATGTGGGGGCTATACAAAAACGTAGACCTATACATAGAATGTTTCGCCACCAGAGCTACACAGACAGACGGACATCGTTAAATCGACTTAGAATTTCATGGTGATTATGAATATACAGGGTGAGATGAAAAAACTGCAACCAACTTTAGACTGCTCTCATTCCTAAGCCACTCGTCCGACAGCTGTTAAAATTTTTTCAGCATTTTGGTGAGAATTTTGCAGAAAAAAGTTGTTCGTGTTGGAATTCAAGCGGGTTAGTGTGATTTCTTTATATTTGGCTGGAAAATTACAAGTGGCTATCGTTAGAGCACTCCAGCAATTAAATGTGCATAAATCTTTTGTGTCTCGTACCATCTCTCGTTACCGTGATACTGGTAGCGTAGACCGACGTCAAGGAACGTCAACATCAGCAGAAATGGTTCGAAAAATTCAAAAGAGCTAAAGAGTTGCTTCGCTTGGCCGGAAGTGGTGAACTGCCGATCAGGTTTTCTCCAGCAATTTGTAAACAAAAAAATTATCATGTTTACTTGCCAAAGAGGTCAGCTGAAAATGTTCACCTACGGTTGGCCACTAGAACTCAAGCGCCGGTCATGGTGATTGTGTGGGCCGCCATAACAGCCTATGGTCGCTCTCCGCCCGTATTAATTGACCGTGGCTTCAGAATAAATGCCGAATATTATCGCGAAAATATTCTGGAGGGTATATTAAAGCCTTGGGCATGCAAACATTTTGGCCGCAGACCTTGGATATTCCAACAGGACTCAGCATCATCGCACTCAGCACTCGCCACCCAAGAATGGTTACAAAATGAGGTTCCTCGCTTTATTTCATTTCAGCGCATAATGATCAAAATCTCCGGATACCAAATACATTGGACTATTGCGTCTGGAATTTTTTGCAAAGCAAGGTTGGCACTAAAAATACCAACGTGTCGATCACCTCAAGCAAGCGCTTCACCGGGAATGGTCTAAAAAACCGCAGAACAACATTCGGGCAGCGTGTGACGGTTTCATTGACCGTTTGAAGGCCATAATTCGTGCCAAAGATGACCAGTTCGACCAAATCTAAACTTATACTAAAATTTGATGCTATTTCCGACATTTTTTGCTTTCATTCAATAAAATTTAAAAAAAAATAAAAATTATGGCGTTTGACTTTGTTGCAATTTTTTTATCTCACCCTCTATATACTTTATGGGGTCTACGACGAATTTTTAGGGATGTTACAAACTGAATGACAAACTTAATATACCCTCCTATTCAAGGTGGAGGGTATAAAACTGAATACCTTTCAAAATTTCCCATTAATTTTCCCCATCCTTTTGATGAGAGAAAATTTGACCTGACAGTTTGAATCTCTAGAATGCTTTCGAATACAATTCCGATTTGTTTAAAATTGTATCTATTTTTATTAGTTTGACCAAGATATTATTCCGACATTACAAATGTGACAACTGCTTTTGTAAGAAACGTTTGGAGGCGGTCATGGCATCACTCGACAATGTCTCCACAACAATGGGCATGGCCATCATGCGTTGAAACCAATCGTACAGACGAGGATGGGTCTTCTCAGTAAATGGCCGCAGTGAATACAAACTCGCCACAGAGGTAATGCAATTGAAATCGGCAATTGTTAGGCGTTCACAGGCCACCCATCTGTTTTGTTCCAAAAATCGTTCCAACATTCGGAATGCTTCTTCAATTCGTTTATAGATCTCTTCGGGGATGGTATTTGTTTGACGAGCAAAGACGGGAGCATAGGCCGCTTTGACACATGACGTAAAGAGAATGCTATTGCAGAAATGTTGCAGCTGATGGACTTTGGCTCGTTTATATGGGTCCTTGGGGTACAGTGAATCATCTTTGCCATAACGTTCCGCTATGTAAACGGCAATGGCATGGGAGTCTCCAATAAATTTATGGTCTTCAGTTTCCAGTGTTGGTATTGTGGCTGTGGGATTTTTCTTTAGAAAATCCTCCGTTTGATTTTCCTTTTTCAATGGTCTAACTTCACGAAATTCAAAGTCCACATTTAGGGCCTTCAAAATCATTAGAACACCGTTAACCGTGGGACTGGAATACGTTCCATAGAGAATCGGTTTCGACGACATGATAAATGCTATGAAACTAAATCTCGATTCGTTTGTTGTCATTTCATAATACCACCAATGCTCTTTGCCGGCTAATCGTGCGAGAGAAAGATATGTAGAGAGAGAGAGAGAGAACAGGTATCTAATCTAATCGTCAGTTTGAGTGTGAGCTCACCAACGAAGAGTTTTTTTTATTTGAATTCGAATTTCAAAACAATAACAAAAACCCATTTTTGTTTGCTGCGAAAGAAATTCTCATTCTGCATGATAAGAATTAATAATGAACTTGTTGGTTGGGGGTATAGGTCATCCAACCACTTCAGAAAAAAACGCAGGTAAATATGTTATATTCTCATTAAATTTGAGGTCCAGCAAAGACCATCTAGAAGATGCCCTTTGGGACCTATTGAAACAATTCCTAAGGAGAAACCTTAAGGACCTTCTGTAGAACCATCGAAGGGTGGGAGTACATGAAACGCTTTTTTGACTGGCTTAATTCATTGGAAAAGAACAAAGGAACGTTGGGCCAAAATCGAACTAAGTCAACCTAAAACATCTTTATTCCTCTACGAAATAGCCAGCCGACCACTTAAGTTAGTTAAAAATGCCTCTCACCTTAAGGTCATTTACAAAAGACCCTTAAAGGCAGTCGATGATAAATTACACTGTGCGACAAAATTATTCAATAATTTGAAAATCTTGCAGACACCGGCGTGTTGAACGTATCGCCGTTTTTAAGGCTAACATTGCACAGTACCCTAAAAAGAGGGGGAAAGATACCCCCTCTCCCACATTTTTTTTTAGTTTTCAGATTGAGATTCCTTGGTATCCGTTAATTTTAGGCTTATAGTATCTTCTGCAATATTGCAGATACAAACACGAGGATTATTAATTTGGTGAAAATTTTAAACACTCAAGCGGATCACCAAAGGGGTCTTTTTGGTCCTTTGTTCAATATATGGTTAAAAAATCAATTAAACGGAGCCATAGCAAGTCAAAATATTCTACAAATTTGTTTGCCATAAAATTCCGCTATCGACCCTAGAATACATCAAAAGTCTAAATCTTACCTAAATGACAGAAATTCAAAACCAGTAAGGAAACGCCAAAAGTCGAGCGGGGCCTACTATGTGATACTCCACTATGCACCACTATGCAAATTAAGTAGAGCTCCCGTAACAAAAGAATTTATTTGAGTAGATAGAGATTGGCTTTAGAACAGTTATAATTTGATTTCAGGGGGAACTGATATATGACAGGCATATCCAATTCTGAATCGATTTTAAGCAAATTTGAGGGAGATATTTTTAACTTTTTTACCAAATAACATTCCTATAGAGTGCATATAACAATGTCATCACTTCGAGAAGGATTATATTAACACAATATATATATCGGAAACCAGTTCCACGTAATTGAAACTTACCTCCGAAATTCACTCTATTTAGGCTGATATTAGACATTATTTGCACAATAATACGGAAATCGCAATTAGGATATATATGGGAGCTATATCCAAATCTGAGCCGATCTCGATACAATTTGCCAAAGGTATTTTCGACCTCTATAAGATATCTGGTACCACATATTATTGTTGTGGAGTGCATATTACGAAGGTGAGGGACTTAAAACCCAAAATCGGATGAAACATATATATATATATATATATATATATATATATATATATATATATATATATATATATATATATATATATATATATATATATATATATATGGGAGCCATAGCTATATCTGAACGGATTTTCATCAAATTTGAGGTACTCTCTTCTAGACCGAATTCGGCCGGATTTGCCAAAATTAAGGTCATTTGGACTGATATTGGCCATTTGGTGCACAATTGACCCGAAATCGGTTGAAGATATATGTAGGAGCTATATCCAAATCTGAACCGATCTTGAAAAAATTTGGCAGAGGTATTTCTGGGCTGTAATTAAGGTCATTTGGACTGATATTGGCCATTTGGTGCACAAATAGATCGAAATCAGTTGAAGATCTATGGGAGCTATATCCATATCTGAACCGATCGTGAGAAAATTTGGCAGAGGTGTTTCTGGGTTGTATTTGATATCTGGTAGCCAATATCAATCTGGTGGGATGCATGTTACGAATGTCAGTGACTTTAACACCAAATCCGATGAAACATATATATAGGAACCATAGCTACATCTCACCAAATTTGATGTACTTGCTTCTGGACTGAATTATGTCAGATGTGCCCAAATTCAGGTCATTTAGACTGATATTGGCCATTATATGCCCAATTAACACGAAATCGGTTGAAAATACAGGCCGATATTACAAAAACTGCAACAAAGTCAAATGCCATAATTTTTACAGTTTTTTTAAATTTTATTGAATGAAAGCAAAAAATGTCGGAAATAGCATCAACTTCAAGAAAAAGTTTAGATTTGTTCGAATTGGTCACCTTTAACACGTATTATGGCCTTCAAGCGGTCAATGAAACCGTCACACGCTGCCTGAATGCTGCTCTGCGGTATTTTGGCCCATTCCCTGCGAAGCGCTCGCTTGAGGTGATTTTTTAGTGCCAACCTGTTTTCCAAAATACTCTAGATATAATAGTCCAACGGATTGGTATCCGGAGATTTTGTTGGCCATTGTGCGCTGGAAATTAAGCGAGGATTTTGTAACCATTACTGGGTGGCGCGTGCTGAGTGCGATGGTGCTGAGTCCTGTTGGAATGTCTAAGGTCTACGGCTTTTATACAACCTCCAGAATATTTTCGCGATGATATTCGGCATTTATTCTGATGCCACGGTCGATTAATACAATCGGAGAGCGACCATCGGCTGTTAAGGCGGCCCACACCATCACCATGGCCGGCGCTTGAGTTCTGGTGGCCAACCGAAGGTGCACATTTTCAGCTGACCTCTTTGGCAAGTAAACACGATCATTTTGATTGTTTACAAACTGCTGGACAACGAATGTTTTCTCATCGGAAAACCAAATTCGGCAGTTCACTACTTTCGACCAAGCGAAGCAACTCTCTAGCTCTTTTGCGGTGTAAGTTCTTGCACTTTTTGGAATTTCGATGGCTTTACTCCGAGCTCAATTTCTAATATTTGCCGAATGGAATATTGCGATAGGTTCAGCTCACGAGCCATTTTTTCGGCAGTTTCGATCAAGTCGCTTCTTTACTTTTCGAACCATTTCTGATGATGTTGCTGTTTTCTTCCGTTCACTTCCTTGAAGTCGGGCTACGCTACCACCAGTATCATGGTAACGAGCGATGGTGCGAGACACAAGAGATTTATTCACATATAAATGCTTGAGTGCTCTAACGATAGCCACTTGTGGTTTTGCAACCAAATATAAAGAAATCACACAACCACGCTTGAATTCCGTCACGAATAACTTTTTTTTCTAGGAAATTCTCACCAAAATGATTTTGTGCTCTTGTAAACAATGTAATGAGCTGTCACTGGAATAATTTTAACAGCTGTCGGACGAGTGGCTTAGAAATGACAGCAGTCTGAAGTTGGTTGCAGGTTTTTCATCTCATCCTGTATATAGTTTTTGCTATATTCAAAGGGACCCCATATAGTTGAGATATATTTTGCAACATTTAGAATAGAGCTTTGACATGTGAAAGAGATCTTTGGATTACATCCTGAATCATTGGTGCAGGAAATGGATCAACTTTTTGGATTATCTTTATCTATCTTTGGTACAGTTTTTATGTAAAGATACCACCTTATATTTGCTATTGCGAATGTCTTGACCATATTTATACCCTACACCATAAGGTTTGTTTGTAACAGGAAAAAAACGAGATAGACCCATAGTTCCTTTTGATGAACTGCGTAGAATCACATTCGATTTATGCATGTCCGTCCGTCCGTTTATCCATGTATTTTTGTAAACCAAGTACAGTTCGCATTTATTGCCCTATCCAGATGAAATTTTGCACAAATCATCTGTTTGGCCCAAGGACGAACCCAATTGAAATTGGAGATAATCCGTCAAAATTTAGATATAGCTCCCATATATATCTTCGACCGATTTGCCTTTTATTGTGCACCAAACGTGTAATATCAGCCCGAATTGTATGGAATTTTGCACATACAACCTATATGGAATTTTGCACATAGGCCTACAAATAAGTATACCAAATTTGATCGAAATCGGTTAAGATATAGCTATAGCTCCCATATATATTGTTCATCCGATTTGTTATTTTTGTCCTCCGCAGCCGTAATATGCACTCTGTAATAACAATATTTGGGCAAATTTATCAAATACAGCTCAGAAATGCACTTGCTAAATTTTGTCGAGATCGGTTCAGATTTAGATATATCTTCCATATATAACTTCGTCCGATTTACCTTTTATTGTGAACCAAACGTCTAATATTTGTCCAAATGGGATGAAATTTGGCACTTACGACCGAACTGAGTCTAGAAGCTAGTATGTAAAATTTGGTGAAGATCGGTTCAGATATAGCTAAAGCTTCCATATATATTGTTCATCCGATTTGTTATAATTGTTACCCACAACCGTAATATGCACTCCGTAAGAAAGATATTCAGGGAAATATATCAAATACAGCTCAGAAATATCTTTGCCAAATTTTATCGAGATCGGTTCCGAATTGGATATAGCTTTCATATATATATCTTTATCCGATTTCAAATTAATTGTGAACCATATGTAGGGTATCATAAAGTAGGCCCCGCCCGACTTTAAGACTTTCTTTACTGGTTTTCAATTGATTTGGTTTCATTGGCTCTGTAGGAGAAGGCCTCCTTTAAGAAGCCTTCTCTAATTTATTTTTTAAAAAATGCTTCTATAAAAATGACTTTCAATGACAACCCTCTAAAGTTCTCCCCCAATAGCTATCCCTTCCCCCTTAACTCAGATGACACTGTACTTTTTTTTTTCCTTTAAAAAAAGTTAGAAAATTTATTATCTATTTTACAACTTCGCCATACGTTTATCTAGAAAACCCATTGATGAGGACATTGCACTACTGGTCAACACTTCCATGACATAGGGAATTTCCATCATACTTTGGAGCCAATTAAACAAATGTGGATAATCTGCATGATCGACAGGTCGTAAATAGAACAAACCATATATGCATAGAACCGCATGAAAATCGGCAATAGTCAAGTGATCGCCTGCAACCCATTTACTTTGCCGCAATATTCGCTCCATTGTCTCATAGGCCTTATCGATACGCTTAAATATCTCTTCGTCTACATAGTTTTTTGTTCGCCAAAATATCGGTTCGTAGGCGGCTCGCACACACGACGTAAACAAATAGCCATCGGCAAAATGCTGCAGTTGTTGAACTTTGGCACGTTTGTAGAGATCTTTGGGATACAACGAATCGTCCTGACCATACCGGTCCACAATATAGGCAGTGATGGTATGTGAATCACCAATGAATTGATTCTCCTCCGTCTCCAAACAGGGTATTGTTCCAATGGGGTTTTTGGCCAAATATTCGGGTGAAGCATTTTCACCTTTCAACGGTTTCACTTCGCGGAATTCGAAGTCTTTCTTGACGGCCTTAAAGGCCATAATAACAGCATTAACCCCAGGACTGGTGAGACTGCCATACAAAATCGGTTTCTTGGCCATGCTTGCTGAAAATGAACTAAACTGTCGGATATTGGAAAATATTGATTACAAAGTATTTGAATTTAAAATAATTGACTTTCTCTCTCTCTCCCTTTGTGATACGTGTATTGGGGCGTTAATCTAATCTGCTGACCAAACGTTTGAGATTGCATTTGAAATGTTTGTTGTGGATCTACGTAATTCTCAGAGTACATGAGTCAAATAAACTCATGTTTACATTTCTCTTGCAGTTTTTAATTCCGAGAGAAAGATATAACGAGGTTTCGTTATTTCAACGTTTGTTGAACTGTTCGGTTATTGTAAACTGGCCTGTAAGTTAGTGCTGAGACTGCATATAATCCGAGAGGGTCCACACATTTACATTGTAAGGTCAATATTCCATGAATCATCACCACATATTAGGTGGCGCCCAATCAAACAGTTAAAAAAATAATATAATATTATTTTATTGATTCATAAATTTGTATGTCCCTTGAAACTTTGTAGAGACACTGCAACCAAATCAAAATGTCGGAAATAGCATCAAATTTTAGAATAAGTTTAGATTTGTTCGAATTGGTCACCTTTGGCACAAATTATGGCCTTCAAACGGCCAATGAAACCGTCACACGCTGTCCGAATGTTGCTCTGCGGTATTTTGGCCCGTTTCCGGCGAAGCACTTGTTTGAGGTGATCGACACCTTGGGGTGATCGACACTTGTAAACAATATAATGAGCTGTCACTGGAATAATTTTAACAGCTGTCAGACGAGTGGCTTAGAGAGAGGTGAGATGAAAAAAACTGCAACCCACTTCAGACTGCTGTCATTTCTAAGCCACTCGACCGACAGCTGTTAAAACTATTCCAGTGCAGCTCATTATATTGTTTACAAGCGTACAAAAGCATTTTGGTGACAATTTTCCAGAAAAAAAAGTTATTCGTGATGGAATTCAAGCGTGATAGTGCGATTTCTTTATATTTGGCTGGAAAACCACAAGTGGCTATCGTTAGAGCACTCCAGCATTTAAATGTGAATAAATCTTTTGTGTCTCGTACCATCGCTCGTTACCGTGATACTGGTAGCGTAGCCCGACGTCAAGGAAGTGGACTAAAGAAAACTTCAACATCAGCAGAAATGGTTCGAAAAGTAAAGAAATGACTTGATCGAAACCTGCGTCACAGTGGCCGAAAAATGGCTCGTGTACTGAACATATCGCAATATTCCATTCGGCAAATATTGCCAAATGAGCTCTGGGTAAAGCCATTTAAATTCCAAAAAGTGCAAGAACTTACACCGCAACAGGAAAAAATAGACTCAAAAGAGCTAAAGAATTGCTTCGCTTGGCCGAAAGTGGTGAACTGCCGAATTTGGTTTTCTCCGATGAGAAAACATTCGTTGTCCAGCAGTTTGTAAACAAACAAACAAAGTGATCGTGTTTACTTGCCTAAGAGGTAAGCTGAAAATGTTCACCTTCGGTTGGCCACCAGAACTCAAGCGCCGGCCATGGTAATGGCGTGGGCCGCCATAACAGCCGATGGTCGATGGTCTCCGCTCGTGTTAATCGACCGTGACATCAGAATAAATGCCGAATATTATCTCGAAAATATTCTGGAGGGTGTATTAAAGTCTTGGGCACGCAAACATTTTGGCCGCAGACCTTTGACATTCCAACAGGACTCAGCACCATCGCACTCAGCACGCGCCATCCAAGAATGAGTACAAACTGAGGTTCCTCGCTTCATTTCCAGCGCACAATGGCCACCAAACTCTCCGGATACCAATCCATTGGACTATTGTGTCTGGAGCAAGGTTGGCACTAAAAAAATACCCAAGTGTCGATTACCTCAAGCAAGCGCTTCGCCGGGATTGGGCCAAAATACAGCAGAGCAACATTCGGGCAGCGTGTGACGGTTTCAATGGCCGTTTGAAGGCCATAATTCGTGGCAAAAATTGACCAATTCGAACAGGTCTAAACTTATTCTAAAATTGTATGCTATTTCCGACATTTTTTGCTTTCATTCAATAAAATTTAATAAAAAAAATGTAAAAATTATCGCGTTTGACTTTGTTGCGGTTTTTTGTATCTCCCCTGTATATTCTAGAGATTATCTGTATTTTGGAGATATTTGTCTCAAATTGATACCAAATAAGCTGTAAATTGAGATTTTCGTTCTCAGTAGGAAGTTGAGTTCATCGCAAAGTAATATTCATTGTAAGTCCCTTTTTCGGGACAACTACCTCTGTAATGCTACCTCCTGATTTTTTTTTCTTTTTTTTTTTTTTTGGAAGACTTGGCCCAAATTTCCAACCAAAGCGGCTACAATTTGGCATTTCGGGTTCTCTATACTGAAATTTTCTCCTCGCAAAAAATATTAAATTTTCGTCCACTTTTTGGTGTAGCCTACCTATATAACGGTACCTCCTGAGTTTCGGTATTTAAAAGGTTTCGGCCCGATTTCCAAACAAATCAGCTGATATCTTGGATATTTTGTGCTAAGATTTGCTCAACGCAAAAATAGTCATGTTGGTCCACTTTTTTGGTATAGGCTCCATATAACTGTACCACCTGATTTTTGAAAGGCTTCGGTCCTAATTGTTTATCAAAGCAGCTGTAATTTGATATTTTGGCTTCATCAATGGCTAGTTTAGCTTCTCGCAAGAAAATATTCGATGTATGTCCACTTTTTGGTATAGAGCCCATTTTTAAGGGTACCTCCTGGTTTTCGGTATTTTGGGGATTTCTGCCATAATTTCAATAATATTGGCTGTATTCTGGAATTTTTCATTGGTTGTGTAACTCCTGATAAAACAAACTATTCAAAGTAGGTCCACTTTTTGGTATAGGCCCGCTACATAACGGCAAACTGTGATTTTCGGTATCCCCCAACTTCGAACGTAATCAGCTTCATTTTGACATTTTGGATTGTCTGTCTTCTTCAGCTTCTTGAGTTTCGGTATTTCAATGCCCCCTACCCACGTCCCTGGGTAGAGGGTAAAACCGTACGATCGTACCGAAGTTAGCGACTTTTTTATACCCTCCACCATAGTATGGAGGGTATATTAAGTTTGTCATTCCGTTTGTAACACCTCCAAATATACATTTTAGACCCCACAAACTATATAATTCTTGATCAGCATAAAATGCTATGTCGATTTAGCGATGTCCGTCCATCTGTCCGTCTGTGGGAATCACTCTAGCTTCCGAACGAAATGAAGTAAGTTGATAAAATTTTACTCAAATGTGTATTATGTCTGCAGGACTTTTGGTATTAAAAATGGGCCATGTAGGTCCACGTCTTCGTGTAGCCCCCATATAACGGTACCCCACGATATTCGGTATTTTGATGATTTTAGCGACATTATTTACCGGAACTATTTCAAATTTCGTATTTGAAGTTCGTAATGGATACTACAGCCTAACACCGAAAATTGTCTGTGCAGATCCACGTCTTCGCATAGCCCCCATATAACGGTACCTCCCGATATTCGGTATTTTGATGATTTTAGCGACATTATTTATCGGAACTATTTCAAATTTGGTATTTAAAGTTTGTAATGTATACTACAGCCTATGACAAAAAATTGACTCTGCAGGTCCACGTTTTATAACCCTCATGGTACCTCCCTATATTCGGTATTTTGATGATTTTAGCTACATTATAAATAGATTTTTTTTCAAGATTCGCATTTCAATATTGTAATAGATTATGACAAAAGTTGCCTATGCAGGTCCACGTCGTCGTATAGACCCTAATATACGACTACTTTCGGTATTTTTACGATTATAACAGAATTTTTAACGGATTTTATTTCTTTGAAAATAGACATGAATCATCAACATATACCAAGTGGCGCCCAATCATATGGTTGGTAAACCAAAAATACCAGAACCAAAACTTTACTGAAGAAAGGCAAATTGAGTCGGGATCATTCAAATATTCCATAATATATCTATCATTTTAATTTATTTCATAAATATATTTTACGATTTTCTTGAAAACTCTCCGATGTTGGCATATAATTTGGTCACATGACCACATAAATTGTCCTGCAATTAAAACTTTCAGTTTTTGATAGATTTTTTTTCAAGATTCGCATTTCAATATTGTAATAGATTATGACAAAAGTTGCCTATGCAGGTCCACGTCGTCGTATAGACCCTAATATACGACTACTTTCGGTATTTTTACGATTATAACAGAATTTTTAACGGATTTTATTTCTTTGAAAATAGACATGAATCATCAACATATACCAAGTGGCGCCCAATCATATGGTTGGTAAACCAAAAATACCAGAACCAAAACTTTACTGAAGAAAGGCAAATTGAGTCGGGATCATTCAAATATTCCATAATATATCTATCATTTTAATTTATTTCATAAATATATTTTACGATTTTCTTGAAAACTCTCCGATGTTGGCATATAATTTGGTCACATGACCACATAAATTGTCCTGCAATTAAAACTTTCAGTTTTTGAAACATTCCCGTTTAAAAAAATGTGTCATTTAAAAAAAATGAGATTGTATGAATCATCATCCCCATTTAACAAATGGCGCCCAATCATACAGTTCATAATCCAAAATTATCAAATTACACTGAGGAAATGTGGAAGAGAGGTAAAATGATTTTACTTATGACACATTGTTCCTCCAAATTATATCTCACAGTTACCACACACAAATTGTTTCAACTACATGTATTCAACTTCACTTATCACAGCTCTCCTCGATTGGCTCCTCCACTAAATATCCTTCCTTGGCACGATAAACATTGGAGTTAGCATTTTGTGACTCCTTAACTTCTCCTTTATTGCTAGACCCAGCCGCCTGGCACTCGTCTTCCAGACGTTGACGTTTACGTGGACTCTCTGGTGGATTATAGAAATCATCTTCATCGATATGGGGCATTGTGTAAATCATTTGTATTCTTGAGGGATATACTGCATTTTCTTCTTGCGCCATAAATCCTAGAGGCATTTGCGATTGATAAAATTGGTAGTCCATATCATTAACATAACCTATTTGACCA